CCAGGCTGGAGCAGCTCCTGCAGGACTGCAGCCCACAGGAAGCTCTCAGGCTGGAGCAGTTCATGGATTCAGTGTCTCCTGTGGGAGGGACCCCACACTGGAGCTCGGACAGAGCGTGAGGAGCCCTTCCCCTGAGCAGGAAGGAGCAGCAGAGACAGCCTGGGATGAGCTGAGCACAGCCCCCATTCCTGTCCCCCTGCACCCCTGGGGGAGGAGATGGAGAAGCTGGGAGTAAAGCCCAGGAAGAAAGGAGGGGTGAGGAGAAGGTGTTTTAAGGTTTAGTTTTTATTTCTCATTACCTGTCTCTGATTTTTTTGTTAATTTGTTTTATTTTGCTGTGTCAGCAACTGCTGAGGGAACTCTCCATGCCCCTATCCCAACCCATGAGCCTTTCCTTACATTTTCTCTGCCCATCCAGCTGAGAAGGGCAGGAATGATTGCTCTTGGTGAGTAAAGAATCGGAATCCTAATCCTGTCCCCACTGCAGACAAAGTCACTTGACAGCAGCATTTGCCTGAAATAATCCCATCTGTGAAAACACATACTTACTTACCTCACAGGGAAAAGGTCTTCCATCAATGGTGTGCTCTGATCCCTGGCTATGCGTGGTCCCCCAGTGGAAGTGGAACTGCTTTAGCCGGAATGGGTTCTGAAAGGGCCCTCCACTGATTGCTGGGCAGAAGAGCAAAAATGAAAAAAAGGAGAAAAAAGCTTAAGGATTCTGGCTTTTTAGCTTCCTGGTTGTAAAACTAACCACAATGGGCACAATAGTGAAAAAGCCAGCAACAGCCTTATGGTTACACCTTTCTGARAGAACACAATAAATATGGGGAAACAGATGGAGCAGTCCTGGGGGAAGGACCTGGAGGTGAGAGCTGGGACCACAAATCTGCCCTGGGTGAGCCCAATTGGGGGCAGCAGGGAGGGGAGGATTGTGTCCCTGTGCCCTGTGCCCAGGTGAGAGCCCACAGGCAGAGCTGCCCCAGCCCTGGGGCCAGCACAGGGAGGAGCTGGAGCTGCTGCAGAGAGCCCAGAGGAGGCTCCAGGATGAGCAGAGGGATGGAGCAGCTGTGCTGGGAGGAAAGGCTGGGAGAGCTGGGATTGTTCAGCCTGGAGAGAAGGCTCCAAGGAAACCTTACACTCTGAACATCGGGTAGACAATTCAGCTGAGTATTTCCTTCTTACAGTATCTATACTTCTAGTGGAGGTTATCTATATTCCATTTGCTTTAAGTACCTGATCCCATAAAAGAGGAAATACAATAGCTGGTAYTTCATACGACACCACTCAACCTCAAATCACCTTCTAAAGGTAAGGAAATGCCACAGAGWTACCTCATTCATCATTTAGAAATAAAACCTAAGAACAGGCAAATGTTTAAGATRCCACCTATCATCAAGTATCTATATCATTCAAGCATCAGTAGTCCCTGTCAATTTATATGCCACCAAATCTAACACATTTTGCCCAATAGACATCAAAACCTGATCAGAGTCTCACGTTAAGAAAATCAAAATGACATTTAGTATCTGTAAAGTTTGTATCCTCAGTGCAGTTCATGACATTTTATTTAAAGAGTGAAAGCTGAGGCTGGCACAGTGCTACCACATGYGCATGGTTCCAGCTGGTCTTCATGCAGGAAACTGGCCTTGCCAAAGCAAACGTTTTAGTATTAAGGATACAAATATCTCCTACTATGTTTCTCTAAACTTAGCAAAAGAATGCATCACCTGTCCCAAATATTTTAAGAAATTTAGCTATTATGGAGCTCTTATGGAGCTGAACAGCTATTCCTGTCAAAATTGTGTTGTGCCATTTATGCAGAGCTTTGAGTCACTAGCTCTATTTCAACATAACTAAAACCAGTTAAAACCATGTTTTCCACTCTTAGCAGTCATCTTCTTTGAAAAAATGTTATTGAAATAAGACGTGTTTAGTGCAGAAAGGGTCTCATTCCTGGCAAGCGCTCTGAGTCTGTACCTTTAAATGCAGAGTAATAATGTTCTCAAACTTCCAAAGCTGAATAAAGTTCACTGTTCCACAGACACAGTTCAGCTGAAAACTTCACTAAAGCAGTAAGCAAGCTAAGATAATATTTCCAGAGATGTTTCACAAATTCTGTTTATAGGGTGACATTCTGAACAGATCTGTGCAGTAAAAATGGCAAATGCACACCCAGAGTCTCCTTTTCAAATTCAGTTAAGATGCTTGAAAACCTGACCATTCCATYGGGCAGATTCTTAAATTCATTCCAGAAAAGAAATTTTAAAACAAAATGGCTGGAATTTTAACCTCTAGCCCTTATTTCAAAGGGTTACTAGCACAGAGAAGCCATTTCACAGAAAAAGTAATTTGTTTTGAATATCAAGGTATCCTATTTAGCTTGCATCAATCAGCACACCCAAAAGGAGGACAAAATCAGCTGATGGATTTTAAAATKACTCTGGGTTGTTTTTCTTTAATGCACTCTTTCAATTTATCAGCTGCTTTACCATCTCAATTTGAATGTTCTTCTCCTACCYCCAGATGTAAAAGCACAGTCTACCATGGAAACAGACCCAACACGTAAAATAATCAATCACTTAAAGAATTTGCATTCTCTGCCAGGAGCTGAGACAAGAATAATGTACAACTGCAGGCAGGCCAACATCCAAAGTTGGCTGCTACCAACTCAGAATCCAGAATTAGCTAAAGATGTTATAATTTCTGAAGGAACCAAACCACTACAAGTCAGGGAGGAAAGAGGAAAACGCAAGTTAACAGTGACCAGTGCAGGTAGGGCTTGGTKCAGTGATCATGATTATGATGACTGTGCTGTGTGACCCATTTCTGGTAATCCTCTTCCCTTCCCTGTGGTTGAGAGCTGGGCACTGAGCCAGGGCTGGCACGTGAGCTGGCATCTTGGATTTGGGTGACCGTGAACCTGGGCACTGAGGAGCTGACATCCCTACTCTGGATCTGGCAGTGCTGGAGAAATGCCCAGCAAACTTCATTTCTCATCTAAAAGAAAAGCACTGCAACCAGACTTCTGACTGTCCTGATGCAGGCGCTTTTCCTGGGGAAGGAACACGATATTGATCTGTGATATTGAATTGCTAGAGAGGCTCAAAGGGAAGATGAGGAACACAAGGTTCAAAAAGACGAAACAGAAATGGCTTCAGTCCCATGCCTTGCTCTAAACTAAATTTATACATTATAGAATCACACTGTACAGGATGTACCTCCCCCAAGTCCTRAACCAGAGTTCTGATTAGTTGGCTGTCAGTCTCACCTGTCCTGTCATCAGTGTCTTCRAATTCCACCATGACAGAGTGGCCGGTGTTGGAGATGCTGAGGGAGGTGCAGGATTCATAGGAGATGACAAGTGGCTTCAGGTTGGGGTCATAAACTGCCCTGGCAGAGACAATGTCAATGGGGGACTGGCGGTTCCCCTGGGCAATAGGGTAAGCTTTGTGCCACTCGGAAGGTCCTGCAAAAGCAGAGAAAGGAAAGCATCATTATTGCCTTCCTTCCATACACAAAGTAGTCATTATGGGTTTTCATGAGGCATGGAATAAAGCTTGCTCAGCAAGAGTGACTTGAATGTTTGGTATGTGAGAAATTCATTTAAATTCTGGGCTGGTGTGTTTTCATTAGCACAAGCAGGCTGCAACAARATGAGGATTCAAATATCTTATACAGGACACACTGAGGAGATCATGGCACATCAACAGACTGCTGTACCCTCAGTTATTTGTGCCACTCTCCCTCTGCAGAGGCTGCAGTTACCTTGCCAAGGTGTTCCAAGGTGGATACAGCTGTAAACACTTGCATACACAAACACACTCCCCCAAAGAAACAACATTTAATTCTCCCTGGAAAAAAGAGTGTAAAAGCTCCAGCAATTCAAATTAGATGCAGATGACTCAATCTCTTAGCTACTGACTATGCAGTTATTTTTAAAATCATTTTATGACTGCAGTAAATCTTTGAGACAGCTCCATTCTTCACTCATGCTCATTATGGTATCTCTCTAACCTGAGTGAAGGATACAGGATGATAATTAACACTTTGGGACTTCCTGACCTCAATAGAGTGGGGAGAAAGACCAATTTAATAACACAACAGCTGCCAGAGCTGGAACATTCTTAAGCAGTTTGAGATAACAAGAGCTTATCCATATCAAAGAATTTCTCTTTGTTATGGCTCATTTTCTACTTTCTATGGTAGTGAAAGCAGCAATTAAATTCTTCTGCTGCTTCCGCTCAAAGTATAACAGTAACAATTGCACTTCAGGATTCTCAAGAAGCGCCTTCTTAATTGCAGCATTCTCACATGCTTTCACAAAGGGAAGCTTTTTTAAAATCAAGCAGAGGTATTTAGCCCCCGAGTTTACATAACAAACCAGTGATCTATTACACTCTTCCTTGGCTTTGTCATTTTCTGCAAAGATAAGCTTAAAAAAATAACATCTTTTCTCAGCCTGCCTGTAAAGCAGATTTAGGAATTAAATGCTGTTATACAAGCTAAGGCAATATCATTCAGCTTCAGAAGAGCATACATGGCTTTATTAGCSCTGTCTATATGCAGAAACACATAACATTATCCACTAGCACTAACCAGCTTCACTTAGTATTCAAACTTGCTTTTAGACTACCAGAAACTAAAGTAATTGCTGTTAAGAAAGAGACAGGTCCCTGAAGGTTATGCAAAAGACTCATGTTGGACACTCAGCAGCTAAAATAATTGCTGTAAAGAGAGAGACTCCTGGAAGTTATGCAATTGTTTTATTGGCCAGCATCAGCCACTCATCCATCCCCTCTGTAAAGGATACAGGCACTAGAAAACACTACTGAGGGAACCTTTCAGGAGCTCCACATCCCCCCTCACGCTGTGACACGCATCCTTGGAGGTGGGAAGCAAAGGAGGAGGACTAAATTAAAAACTGTCAAATCAGAAAGCATGAGTTGTTCTGTAAGAGATCTGATACTGATCTGTAAAATTCACTGATGYACTAGACATACATGATACACAGCTTATTTTATTCACTTTTATGAAAGCCTAGATATCACATTTCAGCAGCTGCACAGAATCAGGAGATCTATTACTGCTCTACTAAATCTTCTTTACTAAAAGAACTGCCGTTGAAGAGAGACACAGGTAATCTTTTTTATAACAGCATTTTGGAAAGGGACCTATCTGTAATATCTGCAGTCTTAAAAAACCCCAAACCCCTCAGTACTGCTTCCCTCAGTTTAGGAATGTTGATTGCAACACTGAAAGACAGCAGATGTAAACTTGTGCATCTTTTGGTGCCACTTTCTGAGTGCTGTTGATTATCAAKAAAGTAATTAATTACCTGCCGTATATACTTGATTCTTGCAGACATCAAAATGCAGGCAGCTCTGCAGGGCTCAGGCAACAGCTCTAGAAAGAAAACGAGTGGGGGAAGACAGAGAGATACAGCACGGAAATGCCATAACCTACCGTCAGCCTGCCCATATCCCCAACTGTGGTGGCCAGTCATTTTGGGAGCTGCCCCTGCTCRGCTCCAGCTCCTGAGCAGGGCAGAGCTGCCTACCTGCCTTTATAGCGGCTCCCGTGGGATAGGGTCAGCCCCTTAAAGATACAGAGCAGCCGAAGCAATTCCTGCAGGACAGGGAAAGGGAAAGSACCCGTGTTCTGCTGCTCCTGCTCCTGCTCCTGCTCCTGCTCCTGCTCCTGCTCCCCCTGCTTGCTAAGGCARCACAGATGAAGGAAAATGTAAAACTCAGACAACTGAAGTCTCAGGACTTRAGAAAGTCAAACTGTGGATCAAATTTAGGAAAAATATCCGTGTTTCCCCGTTCTCCATCCCAAGGAAGCAAAACCCATAAAGGTGCTCTGAGCATCGGGACAGCCAGGGGTAGGCAGGACCTGCCCTTCTCGCATCTGTGTTCTGCAGGAAGAAACATGCCTGCCTCTCTTCTGAAACCCCCGTCCAGCTGCAAAAAAAACGAGTGATGTTTTCACCAGCGCTGTATTTAATCACAATCAGTGCTTAGATGAGATGGAGAACATTTACATCTTGGGAAAAAGTACTTGTGCTGCTTTTAAACAAGGTACAAATCACATGAAGTAAGAACGAGTTGAAAATGTGATTTTATTTTTCTATGTAACTTTAAAGAAAAAAGTTTAGTAGACAAAATTATAAGTGTGGTTATATTAGGGAACAGAACACAGCAGATACCAGAGAAAGGGGTTAATCTGTGAAATTTCAGTTAATCTGGAATGATTCAGTAGTTGCCTGCATCCTGCTCAGCCCATGGAGAAGCTACAATGAGACACCCAAACTGCAGCTGAAAATGTCTTACAACATCTTGGGGCAAGGAAAATCTCTCCTTGGTTGCAATTTTTTTAGATCTGAGGAAATGCTGTATGTCAAGGCTAGATTTTACAAATACATTGATTTTCACAAAGACAATAGCACACAAAAAGRGGGGTGTTTTTTTTCTATTATGCAATTAAGAATATGGAAGGCAAAAATCAATAAGAGCATTTCATGCAACTTTTATGTTGTGGTACTGCCTTGTAAGTATTAATTTCCTTTTTCAGGAGGTTTCCATGAGAGTCAGCTATAAAACCTCTGAGAGCTGCTGATGCCACCTAAATCACTCAGTGAGGGATATAAACTGCTGCAAAGGTCTCCACAGGAGACCWACAATGACTTGTTCAGGTCAGCTGCTCAGTTCAGTCCAGTTGAGCTGCTGTGACCTGCTCAGGTCCCTCWCACACCCACTATCCCTGGCACAGACTCTGTGGGTACAGCTGTGCCCCAACAGTCCAAGCACACAGGCCCTCGTGGGGACCCTACACTGAATTAAACCTTAAAATACTCACTCAGATGCAAAGAGTCAGGAAACTGTTCTAGGGAGAAATACAAAAAATATCAATGCAGCAGAGAAAAGAAATGGAAGTTTGTGCATTTGAAGAGCAGACCATAAACTGGGGAAACSCACATGGCAAGGCAGGCAATGCTGAGCAACTGTTTTCAGGAGAAACATAAAGCCTGGGCTCAGGTGAAGCCACAGGGCACAGTGGGACTGCAGTGTCCAACCTGCATATGACACCACTGACCAGACCAGCTTTCATCTTCTCCCACTCAAATCCACACAGGGGTCTGCATATTGGAACTACAAACACACCACACAGGGAGAGATGTGGGACAAGTGAAAATATCCTGAAGACACAGAAGGAAGSAGACTCCACAAAATGGAGTTTTAAATGGATGGATTTAGAAAAAGTGAAAAGAGAGATGACAATACCTGACAGGGAAGGAAAGGGAGCCTGAATAAAATTTTAGCTATAAATGAGACCCAGTGTGTATGTGACAATTTAATGTGCTTCCAATCCCACTAGCCTTCTTTCTTTACAAGCAAAATATTAAATTTTCCTTAAATATAAGGTAACACTGCTGGTTATACAAATATCCCATTATTCTGYAACCCTGATACCTCTGGAAATCGGCTGTCTCTAAGAATGGGTTTTCACTGATTCTGTCCTCAAAATATTGTTTATCACTTCAAAAGCTGCAGCCACCATGTAATTCTGTTCTCAGTTTTGCTTGTTTGTATCCAGGACAATTACATCACACTCACAAACTTGTGGAAGTGAGAACCATCGAGTGGTAGGTGCTTAAGGGGTGGATTTCTCAAAATCTGAGCTAAAAGGGAAGTGCTCATGATTTCCACAAATTTCTCCTGAGCTCTTGACTCCTAGCTCAGGAGTGTCTGCTCAGCAGTGAATGACAGGAAGACATAATTCCATTCACTGCAGTGAGATGTTTCAAGCTGCCTTAAAGCAGAAATCTGTCTTCCCCAGCCTTCTCACTTCTGGTTTTATTCCCCTCTGACAGAAGTGATGAGTGAAGAGAGCAGCAGCCCAGGACAACTATAGGGGTTCTTCTGAATCTTTCACCAGGTTGTGATACTGTATTAATAAAAAATGCTTAAGGTTTCCCACCTCTATATATAGAATTAATGTTCTTTATGATTTAATTGGAGTTTCCTTTATTAAAATTGCCATACAAGGACTAAACATTCTGGTTAGAAAACTCCAAGTAAGATTGGAATACTGAATTGAAGCAGGACATATTTAAACTTTGCAAGTTTGAGGAAATTGGTTTGTTTAATCTCTAAGGTAAAATGTTTCTGTAATACTACAGGTCTGGAGTCATTGGGAGGTTTGCACAAGGAGAAGTCACTTGAGGATAATGCCTCTGATAAATATTACTGCATCACTGTGGAGGGGCAGAGMTGCATTCTAAGGCATGTAAGATGAAATAAGGGTTCTTTGGTTCCAAGGTGAATGACTCGATGGCACTCTAAGTATATTAAGTAACTTGGCAATTACATCTGCTGACATCATTAATAGTGGTGATACATTTGAACAAGATGTTGTGTGCCCTCTTTAATGCACCCCAGTGTGTCTGGTGTGTCACTGCACAGTGACAAACACAGGGCAGAAATCCCAAAAGTTTGAGCACAGGCTGCACACTCCAAGCTGCTCATGTTCCGTGGGTAGGAGCAGATGAAATGTTAAATAAAACATTCATCACTTCCAAGCCTGTCTAGGCCTCAGTTTCTTGACAGATATCTGTTTATCCAGGCAGCTCCTCTCTCCTCTTACAGTGCCACTAGGGATGCTGGCAGCTCCCAAGGGGGTTACACTGAGCTGGCATCTGTTCTTTACATGTGTGTCAAAGGCATTTATAACAAATCCAGAACTGCAAAAAAATACTCCTCACAGTAAATATAAGCAGAATGGTGTACTGCCAACACTGAACACTAAAAAGCACAGTCATTCCAGATACTTCTATTTTTTAGTATGTTTTTTAAAAAGAGACTGCCCACAATTCTTGATTGTCCACCAAGGTCTATATTCTTGGGTTTTTCATTGCAAACACTAAAATGTGATGGCTTTTATGTATATATTGATATTTTGAGATTAGATATAGATTAGCTATAGATATAGATACAGATATAGATATAGATATATAGATATAGGTAGATACAGATATATAGATATAGGTATAGATATAGATATAGATATATAGATATGTAAAGATTCTCATGCATGCAGTGTAATTTCAGGAGCTGAAAGTGGTAGTCCTTCTCCCTCAGCTACAGAGGGCAAATTGTGAGATTTCTAAAGGAAAAACTCAACTGGGAATCTCCTCCTGGAGATCTGGGGAAAACAGAAAGAGGTGGCCAAAGTAAAGAAGGGATTTAAGGAAAAGGACAAAAAGAACACACATATGGTTAACAGATAATTATGCAAGAGAAAAACTTTGAATCAAACATGGGCCAAGATGGCCAAGGGGACAGAAGGAATTTAGTAGGAACACTCTTGGGAAAGTGGGGCAGAAAAAGGGGAATGGGGTACCTGGTTCTCTAGGAGCTTCCCAGCCTTCATACATTATTTTTAATTACTTAGTTTTTACTTTTAAAGCTATATAGACTTGGCTGCCTTATACCAGATATGGGWACTACATCCTAGAACTAATTCTTGCAATTTATTTTTTGCCCAGATTAAACGGATAGGAGAGAGAAAGAACGGGAGCCTGCTTTTGATTTTGGGAAACARAATCTTCCTGAAATAGTGCAACAGTCACTGAAATGACAGTGAAARGAAGGATCTACTGTGGCACAGCAAGCACAAAGCCTGAAAAAAAGAACTTTGGTAGAGATGCTGAACATGGGAAACAAAAGAGGAAGCAGCGTACTGCAGCACCTGTATCCATCATGGTGGTGGATACAAACCACTCCATGATAATGCACCRCTGTATACAGCATTCCAGCAGATACACAGAAAACAAAATTCACTGAAGAGAGGCAGATTAAAAGGATAATGGACTTTTTATGGATTAACAAATTGGCTGGAATGATACAGTTATTTCAGGACCCCTCTCTTCTTGTTGAAACAGTGCCCGGAATGTTGGTTGAAATTTTTTAAGATGTGGAAATGTTCTCTTTTTTTTGTACACTGTCAAGGTCCAACCAGTGCTGATCCTATATGGAAAGTTCTTCATAACAGAAGCATAGAGTCACAACAGGTTTCCCATGTTCTTTCCCACAACAGGAATAACTGCAATAATGTACAACATCTCTGCAAAATACATCTTACCGGATTGTCCTGACTGCAGGTRCCTTCAGGGCTTCTGCCTCAGTCTGCCTGAAAATGCCTCAAAAGTCCATCCCAGAAAGTGGGCTGAGAGATGCAGAAAAACATCTAATTTGAACCATTTAAATTCTGGAAATGGCACTGTTGTTGAGAAAAATTGGATCTGTTACCTGGTGTGCAACAGCCAATAAATACACACTTGAGAGAGCCATTGATTATTCCTGTCAGAGGTGCCAAGCCTCGTGCTCGGTGGTGTCCCACAAATCCAGCACCMCAACAACCCAATTTTTTTCCTATTTATATAGCAAACAAAGGCATGAATGTTCATTGGCTACAGGTTACATAGTTCTCTTATTAATTAGTATTCTCTCTTCTACTGGTTAATGAGTCTCTTGCTTCTCCTGCTAATTAGTGCTACACTCAGCGTTTCTCTTCCTTTGGCTCCGTGGTTTCCTCTGTGTCTGCTCCAAGAGGTGATGGTGATCTGCCCCTGCTGGAATTCCCTTAGCCGCTCTGAGCTGATTCCCCACAGTTCCRGAGTTGCCTTTATTTGTTTCTTCCTTACCTTGGTGCTTCTGCCAAATGTCCTCATGGCCCATGCATTCTGCAATTCTCTGTATCGGTGGAAATCCTTCTCCCCGAACTTTGTTAACCTCCCCCTGGGCTGAGATCATTGACACACGTCCAGTCTAAAACCTTAACAAGAAAATTCTGCCCCTTCCTTTCTGACCAGGAATTTGTATTTCCAACACCTGGGACGTCACTTAGAGCTTGTTGGCTGCTCTGTTTCACGGATTCAGTCTCCCTCTTTGTCGATTAGGTTTGCAAAGTATAAAGCTGAAACATCAAACAACATCCTTTCTTTACCAAATTTTACATATTCCACACTTGATAAAAGTTATAAATATTAGGAGTAGTGCTCAGGTGTAGGTGCAAAATGTTTGGACACCCAGTGACCTCTCTTGAGTGGAATCCTGCCAGGAACGGGGATGCTATGAGGGCTGAATTGCCGATGGTTAGGCATGAAGTGGCTGTTGGAGGTATTTTTTGTAAGCCTTCTATTTTTCAAATGTCTTGTTCTCTATTGAGGCTGTGGATCATGGACCCTTGGAAGAGGAACATTGAGTTAAGGAATGGGTAGGTTGAGATGCAGAAAGCGGCGGCTGGAGACTAATTTAGTCCCGTTTTGATTATTATTAGCCTAATGGATTTGATGTAGAGAAGGCCGGGGCTTTTTGGATATCGTTCTGTGTTCGGCCGCTTACGGCGGCAAACGGTGTGGGGAGGGTCCGCAGGAGCTGCATGGGGAGGGCGGGGACGGTGCCGATGAACACAGGATGGGTGCGGGTGAGGGGGAAAATTCCGGGTACCACCACCCCCGCCGGGCTGGAGCCTCCAGAGGCACAAGGGCCGCTATCGGCCAGCGCTGAGAGAGGCAGAGAGGCGCCCACACCCCAAGCGCTCCCCGGGCACCGCCCCGCTCCTCAGGACCGCTCCCCGGGCACGGCCCCGCTCCCCGGGCACCGCTCCGCTCCCCGGGCACCGCCCCGCTCCCCGGACACCGC